ACCTTGTCTATATTGCATTTCATCTACATTTAATAATGCAAAGGAAAGCTACTTGCATGCGATGAAGCTGTCTTCAAGAAAAAATGACGATGAGAATAGGTTTATCGGAAATTCTGTTACTAGTGGCTGAACTGTTAATCAAATTCGTCTCTCTTTTCTTCTTTTCTGATGATGTTGCTGTTTTCGTGTTGTGTTGTTTGACAAGTTTTGTTCCCTCTAGTTCTTTCATTCTGACTGTTGGCCTTGCGCAGCTTCTTGTGCGTACTCCGCTTCAAGAGTCGAAGCACCACGAAAAGCTGCTCACGACCTTCGTCGCCTTGCTGGTCTTCTTCAGTTTTTCCTTCTAGTTATTTTTCCATTGAATTTAAAGATTAATTCAGAATCTTTCATAGTTTAAGTTAATTTAGACTTTCCCATATATATAATAATTTATTTATATGATAATAGTAGTTTTTCCCAGATATATCCTTGAAATAGCTTCACACGTGTCTTTGTCACGTAATATTCCTACAGTTCTCTCATTCTTCACCTACGGAAATTTTGTTTTCTACTTTCCTAGAGTTACCAAAGATGTTGTGATGGTTGAAGTAGTGCTGGTTCATTGTCGCTAAGGGGTCGTAGGTGCGCCCATTGATGTGAAAGTCGATAACTGAAGAGTGTTTGCAACATCTCCATGCAGAACTTCGATTTTATCGCTGCGTGAGGTCCTCGTATTCTCCGAGGTCGTAGCGTTTTTCCCTATCATAGTTGCTCTGACCCTCAAACCCCGGCAAACCTCTTGTCGGCTACAGCTCTCGTATCAATTGCGTTGACATCCGCTTGTTGTGTTTGAGCAGAGTTCTGTGCCGATATCAAACGCACACAGACACACGCACAACACACACACACATACACACACATAAGGCGATGCGATGGGGGTAACATGAACGAATGCGTGTCATCTGCGGCGATAAGTGTGCTGCGCTCGCTTGCCCGCTCTGTATGTGGCAGTGGGGACGGTCATGGTGTTTTCAATGCCTCATCTATTTGCGCAGCTTATCTGGCCAACCATCACCCAGGCCATCCTGTCGTCCATAATGCTAGCCTTAGTGTATGCGGGTGATGTATGCGCATTTAATGCTTCTACTGCTGTACCACCATGACAACAAGCTGACGAGTTGAGAAAGAGCCGCCGTACTGCCAGTTTTAACCAGCCGCTGAGCACCGCTACATTATTAGAGCTGTGTCAATTATATGTTTCATACATTCCCTCCTAACACCTATATACTGCAAATAATAGGTAGTTCTCTGGGGAACGTTATTGAAAATCATTACGAACACAGTCATAACCAACACTAGTTTTTCCAGCAGAATCCAATGTACTGGACATAATCTCGTTGCTTGAAAATAAAGCATCTTTCATCAATCCACCATATATTCTTGCAAACTTAACAGTGTGCGCTCTTAATTTTTCAAAGTGAAAGTATTTAACAGTATGAATTAATATGTCCTGAGAGCCAAAATTGTCTCTTAAACATTTTTGTAGTACTTTTCAAAATGAGAGTTAGGCCATTTTTTAAAAAATTTTACAAGTCTCTCCTAAAAACCCTCCTGCCTTAAATTGTCATTATATAATCAAGCATAATCTC